ACAAAGTCACAGTATGAAAATTTTGAAGGTTGTACAAGTTTATGTAAAACTGAAAAGGTCAAAAGGGAACCAAATAACTTGACTTAATTGTAGGAAGTAACATATGACATTTGGAATAATATTCCACAACCACACATTGGTAAATTGTATGGCAGTATGAAGTCAAGGTGTGATACCCTGGACAAACCAAAGAGCTCACATACAAAATACTGGTACATTGCACCACTTATTCAGCAGTCTTTTATATTTTCTCTGATACTGGTTTTTACCATTAGTAAATTCATTTATAGTTTACAACATATGTAATAACTGAGAGAGCAAGCAAAAATAAAATTATGGATCAGATTAAGATGCAGAAATATTATAAAGGATAGGATAAATTGAGTCAAGGAGACCAGAAATGTAAAAGATGAAGAAAAAAAAACACAATGGAACATACATGTGAGAGCAAAAAGATGCAAAAAATGAAATGATGAATTTGGGAGACAGTGAAATGAAAAATACAGAAACAGACAGGTATATTGAATAACTTGTGAAAAAATAAGAAGAGAAAATAGTAATAAAAACATGATAAATAAAAAATAGTTAAAATGATACTAAATTAGATGGACAATCTATACAAGGAGTATGAAAAATTAATATAATGAATATACTGTAAGAAACTGTGCATTTCTTCCTAAAGAGAAAAATCTCTATGGAAAATAATTCAAATTCACTCAATTACTCATTGGTTGTAACTCCTGTATATCAGTATATGTATCCCTTATGTGTTTCCATAACTATTTCCATTGTATATTCATATAATTAAAATTTTTTCCAGATAAAAGCTACTTATTATGGTGAATAGTTTTCATTCAGTGACTGAATTTGTGATTATACTTTATGCATAAATAGCTATAGCTAATTACTAATACATTTTGGCTCTTTAATCATATAACTTCTAAACTACTACCATATATTGTTTGTTCAATCACATAAGAAATATAAATATAAAGTAAAAATGTGTTTAAACATACATTACTTGTGAAGATAGGAATCTTTTAAAACATTAAGGGTATACAGAAGCAACAATAAAAAAACATGCAGTAGTCTTCCCAACACACACATTCAGGAAAAGGACCTGCAGTATCATGATGCAATACACACATATATACAAAGAAATGTACAGTATCAAACAACATTCATACAAAGAACATGACACCATTCTGCAAACCTCACACATACACACAGAGAGAAGTCCAGTATCATACACATACATACACATGAAAACGTCAAGTATTCATGTAGACTTCATACATATATATAAAAAAGTAGAGTATCATACAACACTTGTATACCTACAGGGAAATGTCCAATATCATGTAATACCTATTAGAATTAAGCAAGTAACTCGATTTCTATGTCACGTAAAACAAATTAATCAAGATTACATTTAAATTGATTAGTGTCATAAAAAATGAAAGTAATTAACTGATAAAAATTAGTTTCCAATTGTTACAACTATTTAACTAATTGAAATATTGTCATTATGGTTTTCATTATTATTTTTTATTTATTCAAGGTTTTTCAGTTTAATTAATTAGTTAAGCATAATCAATTAATAAGCCATACCATCAATCAATCAGCAAACTTCAATAATCACACAGCTCTAACATTCATGCAAATGCAAAACTTATACACACTCATGGAAAAATGTAGTACCTTGCAATGCTCTTACACACTCAGGAAAAGTGCAGAATCATGCAACAATTGTACACAGACAAGTATTACAGTAGTATACTCAATACTGATCCATGTACAAGAACCGAGAAAACCATTTGATATCCATACATAAACATGGAATGGATTAATATTATACCATATTCATTTGATATTCATACACACATACATAGTGTAGTGTCTTGTGGCATTCATACCATATATATATACACACCCACACACATACATGTACAGATTTTATTTGCTATCTAAACATATTAATTCACACAGTAAAGTCAGAATCGCACATGAAAAGTCTAACATTCTTAAACTCAAGTCTAAAAACATTTAGGCATTTCATCAGGAAATTCAAAGGAAACTATAACATATAATCTATGTTTTGACACTTATTAACCATTATCCGAGAATAAAAAATTATGAATGCCTAAGTGAATAGTAAGAGGAAAAAAGAAAATATTTACATTTAGCTACAAAAACCATTTCATCCCACATAATATATAGTCAAGGGTTCCTTCTTGAAGGCTGTCCTTGCCCACCCACCCTGCTTGTTTTTTTGTTATTTTTACATCAGCTTCACAACTGACTTAAATCAAGGATTAACAACCCTAATATAAACTTAGCTCAAAGCACTGGATGCAATGTCCACAAAAGAAAATGTTAACTTACTTATTTAGTTCCCATGCTTCAATATCTCCCATTTTTTAGTTCAAAATCCTTGCAGCATTTCATTAGTTCACTAGAAACTGCATATCTTTGGCACCTCAATTTTCTTTTGATATACAAAAAAAAACAAATATCACAAAAAATTTTAAGTTGTTAAGATCATTCATTCAGTACCATAATTGTCTGGATGGAGGAATAAAAAGTTTAAGTTATTCTTCACTTCAATGACACGAAGCTTCTTGTTAATACTCAAGGGAAAGTACTGCTTCTTTCTTCTAACTCTGGCTCTCAGGACAAATGCAATTTACTCTGTTATTCCACTATTTCTTTTATTTTCTTGCAATATAAAATTATTTTTGTACTTTTATCAATACTGAACACTGTGTTTAACTTAATTAATCAACAGAGACACAGTTTAAATAATTCCTTACCACCCTTCATACGACAGCAGAAATTAAATAAGGCTATGTGGTCAGTACTTAACTTATACATGGTCTGTAGGTGCTAGATCGTTAATTCTTTCACTGCCATATTTATTGAAAAACAGCTTTCCCAGTTCCACATTTATTTCTGTTACACAGTAAAAAAACCACGTTATAATATTTCATTACTTATCTAAAACTTCATACAGGAAAACTTTGGGCTCTTTCTTCATAAAATTCCAAACTCAATGAATGTCCTAAAAAATGTGCCCACAGCAGTGCTCTATAGTAGAACACATGTGCCTATGGCAGTAGAAGAAAAAACAAAGAATGTTAACACACACCGTGTATCACACACATAAATATGCAAAAAAGTTTTATGCATTCACTTTAATTCTCTCTCAGCTGGTTTCATGCACATGTAATAGTCTGAAAAGTATTGCTATCAAATGGTCTTCCCAAAATTTGACAACTTACAATTTACACGGAAAATATACCGACTATTCAAGTCAAAAATCTAAAATGTTACAAGCACTTGACTACAGCAGCCAGGCCAAAATTATTGTCATATTCCCTATGCACAGATACTGTTACCACAAATATTAGATTCAGACATTTGCATGGAATTGTTTATGATATTAATATTACAACAGATTAATGGGCAAATCATTTGGATTAATGATCATCTGTTTTTTTTTTTTCTTCAAATAAGGAGGGTACACTGAAAATACAAATTTCCTTTATATTTTTGCCAAAAAGAAGAAACTGCTTCAAATATAAAAACAGTCTCAAAATCATACAAGTTTATTTAAACAGTAATATACACCATAAATACATGTATAACAATATGTTCTTACCCAAAAAATTATTTTTATCTCTTCTGGAAACCTATAACTTTATTTAGCCAAAGAACAAGAAGTGAAACAGAGGAAGCTAAAACAGAGATGTACCAAAATTCACCAGATAACTGAAAGATCACTTACATATCTTTTTATTTTAACATTTAAACAATTAAAATCTAGAATATTGTACTGAGAGTTGGCTCTTTTAGGCTATTAGAATGATACTTAATCTGAATAATTTAAGCTATAATTAAAGTTTTCAGCTCTTTAATTAAAATTACATTTTTTCAGTAACAAATTCATAATCTTCAGTTATCTAAGATTTAATTACAATTTATCTCTGCAATTATAGCCAATACCTCCAATTCTAATAACTTAATGCAAATTTCTAGTATTAACTTTATTATCTACTTCACTGCCTTATAAAATTCATGATTAACAGCCACCCCTATGGCTCTGGACTTATGATACTAAAAATGGGGTTTGATACTTTTGTTGGCCATAGCACAAATAGTCCATTGCGTAGCTTTATGCTAAACAGCAAATAAACATAATTAATAGCGGTATGGTTAAGTGTTATTGGTAGTATGCAACTTCTAAAACTCTGTAATTTTGTAGAAGCATTTATACCACTCATAGAGCACTACATCATAATTTCCAATAATGATTTTGAAAAAAAAGGAGAGAATATTAAAAAAAATCTACTTTGCTGAATTATGTTATTTACAGAAAACTTAAGTTTACCTTTCTCAACCTATGAGAGAATGACAAACTATTTTTATCCTGTTTAGTCTAATACACATCTATAAGTTATAATATTGACAAAGGCGAAAAAGCATATTATCTATCAGTAAGAAGTTTCTTCATTTAAACATTTAAATTATGCAGAATTGGTAAGGGTGGAGCCCTGTATTTTTTTTTTTTTTTAAGATTACAAAGGTAATTATTTATGCTGAAGTAATTATCTTGATTCAAAAAATATTCTTAGATTTAACAATATTAATAGTTTAAAGAAAATCTTTTATCGTTCAGTTCTGTAAACATCAGATTATTTTACTTACCAAAATTTTGGTGTGGCCATATAATAAAGAAAAATATAGTAGAAACGTTTAAAAAAAACAGCTGTTTGCAAGCAGACATTACTGCTAGCGAGATTATAACAAGATGGCTATGTCTTTGTTTGGTAAAATCAGCTGTAAGAGCGATCGTGATGGCCTTCGTCACTTCAACAGTTCAAGGCTATTCTACAAACATGCAATTTTTAATAAACATATAACAATTTTTAGCTTAATTAATAGAATTACGTAACACTACTCTGAATACAACAGATAAATTTAAAAGATAAAGAACTTACTAGCTGTCGTTGGGGAAATTAGGAGTTTTAGGAGTTTCAAACTGGTTCAAGTGACAATACAAAACATCGAAACAGAAAAAGCACATTTCCATACAAATAACCATTCCATTTCGATAGAGAGATGGTTGATACGGATTTGTGTGAAAAAAGTTTCCATTGCAACAAGGACCTGTATGATGGTTAAACTTTTGCTTCTTAGCCCCACAGCAACCAGCCGCCATGCCGACCCTACCTCTTCCCTCTACTCATTAGCCTTCAATGGTATAGCTTAGCGTCCTCTGTCTCGCAACTAATATTATACATCACGTATAGGACAATTCATTACCTATAGTATATCTCCGATATTCTGGTTGTGAATTGCCTTCTTACATGATTGAAACCAGTCAAGTTTTCTATCTAAGTTTTGAAATGTTTTCATAAATAAAATTTCACTGTAGAATTAATTATTACACAATTCTATATTACATAACATTTTATTCCAAATTAAAAAAAAAAAACACGAAATGAACCACACAGCGTTTTGAATGTGTATTATACAATGACGTCATAAAGGCGCCAATATAATAATAATTTTGGAGGGCATTTCAAATCTGTATTACTTATATAATTAATAGAAATTTGCTTTATTTCTGAAATGGTGCAAATAAACGTTTTATGATCATATTTATTTATTATCATATTTTTTACTTATGTTATAAAAGTAGTATATTTTTAAATAATACGTATTTTTAGTTTAATTTTTCCTTAGTTTTGTTTCCCTGTTGTTATTATAACATTCTATATTTAATTAAAATATACATATTTTGTAATATATTTTCTCTGTTTAATTTTATATTTTCTTCGTATCTTAATGACCATCTTCTTCATGAAGCTGCGAGTATTTTTATTATTTTTCCTGAAGTCGGTTGATGTGGTATGTAGACCTTCCTTGTGTTTTCTACCTTCTCATTTTAATATGCAATTTTTCGTTTTTCATTATTTCTAGAATGAGCAGTATTCGCATAAAACATGGTCGAAAAAAGTCATTAAGTTGATATTGTTCTATCTACCTTTGTTCTTTGTCATCATCTTGGAGATAACACCTGGTCTGTCAGTGGAATGTATAGCTATAAACCTGCTCTTTGAACATGATGGTCAACAGCATTGTCCCCCAATGGTAGGTCAGATGATATATCGAGGTTGCATCATCCGTTATGTTTAAATGGAATGACCAGTTTCGAAGAAAGTTCTAGTTGTTGTGGGTAAGTCTCACACTATCAGTTCAACTAACGTGAAATTTAATCAATTTAGCACAAGACCTCAAATGGGTCAGTCTGAAACATCATTTTGAGTGAATGGCCATCTTGTAACTGAATAATTAGAAGGCGACCTTCTGTTATCTACAAGGTGAATCACAAATTCTGTTAATTTGTGCTTTGTTACAGATAAATATTGCTTTTCATTTTGTGTTCAGCTCATTTATTTCTTAGCTCAGACTCAACTGATTTTAGCAGAACTCAATATTACTTCGAAAATTATTTCGCTAGACTTCCCATTATATAATGGCTACCTAATTTACTTTTATGGGAAATTAGTTTACCCGAAAACATCACAGAATAGGTAGGAAGAACATGGGTTAATTACTGAAGATAGATGGTCGTATTAGAGAATTGTTGGGCCTAGTCCTTTCCTGGTAGTCGGACTTTTATCGATATTATGAAGGTCCATGACTTGTTCTTTCTGCAACCACAGAAACAAACAAAATCTGGTGTACCAGAATGGAAGATCGTGACTTGCTCCTGAGAATCAATCTCAATGCAAAGGAAGCACAGGCAACTGAGGGTCGCCGAGGTAGAATGCCATCTGATGAGTCTTAGACTGCATGGGGAAGTCTGTACGGGACTCCCCATCATCACCAGCAAGAGTAACACAACCCCAACTGTTATAAAGGTAATCTGAGACTAACAGAAAAGGACTGGAAGTGCCACTGGAGGAGAAGCCTGCCAGTCAGAGCTGTTTCCCTGGTAGATGAGACAGTGGGTACCACCTAATAAAAATTGCAAACCACAGGGCAGTTGAGAGACCTTAGTACTGGGAGGGTACAGGGTGAATGTGGATTGCAAAGAAACCTAAGGACATGCAAAGCTAATGGAGAAGCTCTGGGGAGCAATTCTTTACACTGATGTCCTGGACCAGGGTTCATCTACTTATCAAAGGGTCAGAATCCTTAAGTATGCTTATTATACCATACCCACAATATTGGCATCACATCCACATATTGTCTAAATAACAACAATGGAAATGCTTTAGCCACAACCATAGGTCTCTGTAAGTGAGAGAAGGAAATGTTGTCCCTGATGCTCAAAAGTGTGGTGAAAAAAGACCTAGACAATTTCCTGAAGCATTTCAGGCAGGTAACTATTTAGAAGGTTACCCAAAGGAGCATACAGTCCAACACCTGATCCTGAGTATGGTTCAGCCTTGGATTCTATGAAGCACCTAAGTGAGACACAATTGGAATACTGAGATACAGTCTTGGCTGGGTTTTGCTGATAGTTCGACCCGGTGGATAAGTTGGGCAATATGATGTGTTGACTTCAAAGCTTGGAAGAAAAGCACCATCAAGAGTCTGACTACCTATGTGGCCAATTTTCACCATCTTTATGGTAAAGCATACATTGAATGGCTTTTAAAGATCTTGAAGACATTCTCATGGTTAAATTTGTCCAGATACTTCCAGGAAAACAATGAGGCATCACCTTACTGGGGCAGTGTCTGTTGTGACAAGATACAAGATGGTGGTTCTGAACTGGCTACAATAGAGGAATAACCCTACAGTGGCTACATCTTGAAGATACACCTACATGGTGAGTCTAAATTTCAAGAAACAATGGACTGCACGAGTATATGTAGTGAATAAAATCACAGTACTTCCATATACACAAATGGTGTCCTGTGGTTTACTAACATCTGGTGTGTTGGTACCATGTAACATAGTTATAGAACCCAATATTGATATATACTATTTTTTGAAAAGGTATTATAGCAGATAAAGAAAGATGGCTTGAAAATGAAACCAGAAATGGAATTTTTCAGTAGTATGGTTAGGTAGATATGGAGTCTCTCATACCCTGCCAAAATTGCAATGCTGAGAAACTGGTCTCAACCTCTGACCATTGTGAAGTCTGCGGTATCTAACTTCTCCTAGACGACAGACCACTGTCTGCTCTAACTAAAATTGAGACACACTTTGGATGGAACCAAGAATGTGAATCAGCATTCCAATCTCTAACATTTGCTTTAGTGGAAGATCCAGTCTTGAAATATCTAGAACAAGACAGTGACCTCATATTGAACACTGATGCTAGTGATAGTTGAACAATGACAGTACTATTATAGTTACAGGGTGGAGTAGAAGATGACACTGCGTAACAAAGAAAAACCACCTTACAGTGGTATTCTTCTTAAAGCACTATTTACACCACTTTTATGTGGAAGTTCTAAGATCTGAGTAAACCATGCTTCACAGAAATAGCTAATGAAATTAAAAATCCAGGATGGATGATAGCATATTGGGTAACAATGTTACAAGAATGTGAGTTAGTCAGATTTCATTGCCTAAAACATGGAAATGCAGGTGGATTGTCTTGCCAAAAAGTGAGAGTTTGTCTATTCATTGAATATCATGACCCTGGACACCGTATGGAAGTTTAAACCATAACATCACTAAGCCAAGCAGTAGTAGATTCCACTAGTGAATTGACCAACAACTAGCAAAGACAAGGCAAGGGACTTCTACCTTGAGGATGATTAACACAACACCAGATAAGTAGCCCCATTAAAGTCCAAGATACAGCAGAGAGTGAAGCTCACATCTAAGCCACCAAGTTTATCACAAACCAGCCCATTCTACAGCATATCCACATGAATAAGCAGAATTACCAGGAGAAGACCATCACTGGACTGCAGCTTGGGCCCTCTACCATTGACAGGAGAAATTGTTGTGGCAGAAAACTATGATTTTGTCTTAGCTGGAAGAAGAGATATGCTGCTTTTAGGATGAGCTGGGGTATACCGAAAGGGTCCTAGCCAAAGCCATTGGTAACATATGAACTATCATGGCATCCAATACAAAGACAACTACCACATTCCACCATCTGCTAATGGAATTCAAGTGAAGTGGGATAAAGAGTAATGTATATTTTGTATATTCTTTCTTTGCTTTTTTATTTAAATGTATATGTTGCATATTTTATCTGTAACTCTGTTTTGTTAATTGGGTTGTACTGGTAATTTATTTCATTCCAGGCCCATTTTTAACTTTAAATAGTTTTTGTTTATTTTGTATGTAAGTGTAAATATATTTCATTCCCTTTTTCACTTTTATGGGTACATGTATTATTTTGGCAGTGTTTCTTTATTTTAGTTCATCATTATTACGATTTTTGAAAAATGTATATTTAAAGAAGTTTCATTTATTCCTTTATTGTGTATTCGTCTTTTTGGTTTTAAGTGCACTTTTTCTAGCTGCTGTAATTATGTACATTTCATGCTGAGTAAAGTGATGTTGCATTGGGAATGCCCCCAATGGAACAGCGGTATGTCTGCGGACTTACTATGCTAGAATCCGGGTTTCGATACCCGTGGTGGATAGAGCACACATAGCCATTGTGTTGCTTTGTGCTTAATTTCAAACAAATTAGCATGTGGAATTTTCGAGTATGTGATATACATTATTGTATGGTATACAGATTTTAATGTGTTTTGAGTTGTTTTTTATTCAGGATACGCATTTTAATAGAGTATCAGACGAGTTATCTTGTGAGTTGATTTTGCATTATATTATGGTTTGTGTATGTTTAAAGGGTTAATCCCATTTTATGTACACATCGAATTTGAATTTATATGCAATTTTCTTATAGGACTTACTTTAGTTCATGTTTTGTAAATTTGATTTTGTGTTATTGAAATAATTATCTATGTTAAAGAGTAATATTTTTCTAATGTATTTATTTTATTATGTATGGGGAATCGAACCAATGTTAAATAGTGTATTTTTGCAAATTTTCTTGTGTCTAAAACTTATATTAAATATAAAATAGTGTTTTTGTCTTATTATGTGAAATCCCTAGTGGTACTTACACAATCTTTGTTAAAGTGAATTTTGATTTCTGGTGTGAAGAGGACGTACCGTACCGCCCCCCGGTGGAGCAGCGGCATGTCTTCGGATTTACAACGCTAAAATCTGGGGTTCGATTCCCCTCGGTGGACACAGAAGATG